TGAGTTCAGACCTCTTCCTCACTAGAAAGGCCCCCTGCATTTGGGAAAGCAGATGCATGTTGGGTCTTTGGCTCTCAACAGACCAGCTGTGCTGCCCAACGACACACGGTGGGGTCCCCATTCAGCTGGCTGTGTCAGGTGGCATCTCTGAAGGCTGATGCCAGGATGCTGGACTCCGCTGTCGTGTGCCCAGCACTCAGCAAGATAGGCCTAGGCTTCACCTCCAGGATGGTGGAACAGACTGGAATGATTTTCTATTTTTATTGTTGTTAACAGCTTTATTGAGATATAACTCACATACTGTACAATGTATGCATTTAAGGTGTACAGTTTGGTGGTTTTTAGTATATTCACAAAGTTGTGCTACCATCACTGCAGTCAATTTCAGAACACTTTACTTACCCCCAAGAGAACCCTGCACCATGCATGGTCACTCCCCATGTCCCTTCTAAGCCCGTTTTCCTAGCCAGCGGCAGCTCCTGGCAACTGCTCATCTGCCTTCTGCATTGCGTGTAAATGGAATCACAGATGTGCGGTCCACAGGGACCGTCTTCTTTCACTTACTATAGCGTCTTCAGTCACAGTTCACCCTGTGATTGCCTGAATCACTTCAGTTCTTTTTATGGCTCACATACTGTCCTATTGTAGGGATAGACTACATTTTATTATCTATTCATCAGTTAGAAAGATGGATTATTTACATGTCTTGGGTATTATGAATAACACTTCTGTGGGCATTAATGTACACATTTTCTCACGGATGTGTTTCCGTTTCTCCTGGGTATCTGCCTAGAAAGGTAAAATGACCTTTGAATCCACTTCAAGCCTACAAGTCATGTGAAACTCCACTAACTGACTTTATCCTCGCTGGCACTGCGCGCCTTTCGGCCAGCTGGGAGAGGACAGATTGCCTTGTAACGAAGTGAAATTTGGGTCAGAAGCTGCCTGTGAAGGTGCCGTCTGTTTTCCAGCATCCGGTTGTATATCTGGAACACGTTTTACAAATTTTAACTCAAATTTTAGCTCAATCTGGTAATCTTTCAACACGAACAACTGGTTAAACAGCAGTTTAGCCTTGTAAGGGTGTATTGTGTCATACAATTCTAGAATAATATCTTGTAAATCAGCTTTGGACACCCATTGTCCCAAACTTTACAATTGGGAAACCAAGGTTTAGAGGCCACCCTGCAGTCCAAAATAGAGAACAAACAATTAATTCTCCTTTTGAGAGGGTTAGTTGAACTCTTAAGTGCATACCGTAAGCTTCCCAACTTGGCAAAAAGTGCTGTGTTTAATTTCTTGGGTTCAAGCTTAAAATTTCTTTTTAAATAAATAAGTGAATTCCATAAACCTCAAAAGCTCAGATGTGAAACCAGACTCTATAAAGGTAAGGGACTGGGTGTCTATTTTGTGCCAGATGCTACGGCTCTGCCCTGGCTTCTGTCCTCCGTGTTGGGATACGAAATGAGTGAGACACGGTCCTTGTCGTGCTGGGACAGAGCCCTTGGTGCTTGGCTGCACTACTTACAGGCGGTGACACTTGCCTGTCTGATCCATCTCCATGTGGCTTTGGAGGGTCGGCTTCTGCGAGTCCACTTACTTGTGCTTATAAACGTCAGTTTTTAACTCTGAATCTGGATTACGGTGGGGGAAAGCGCAGTGACCGTAAATCACAGGGAAATGGAACATCCACAGACGTACGATTATTTCTTCGCCCTTCCTGTTTCTGGTAGGAAAATAATACATGCAAATTACACATTTCTGGAAAGATAAACTTTTGGTCACATCCTGATAGTCTTCATACTTTTATTTTCCGATTTGTCCTCACAGCCATACGGGAAATAAAAATAAATCCATTTGTTGTTGGCACAGACACTTAAGAACCTTCCCTAAGTCAGCTTTCATACTGGAG